GATTAGATAGATTGACACTCCACACTGCACACTCTACTCTTTACACTCTACACTTTACACTCTACACTTTACACTCTACACTCCACGCTGCGCACTCCAAACTCTGCACTTTACACTTCACACTCTACACTTTACACATTACACTTCACACTCTACACTTCACACTCCACCCTGCAGACTCTACAATTTACACTGACTCTACACTCTACATGTTACACTTCACACTCTACTACACTTTACACTTGAAACTCCACACTCTGCACTCTACACTTTACACTCCACCCTCCACACTGTACACTTTACACTCCGCCCTCTACACTTTACACTTCACTCTCTACACTTGACACTCCACACTCCGCCCTCTACACTTTACACTCCACCCTCCACACTATACACTTTACACTCCGCCCTCTACACTTTACACTTCACACTCTACACTTGACACTCCACACTCACTCTACACTTTAAACTCCACACTCTACACTCTAAACTCCACACTTTACACTCCACACTGCGCACTCCACACTGTACACATTACACTTGACACTCCACACTCTACACTTTACACTCCACACTTTGCACACTGGACACTGGAAACTCCGCACTCTACAGTTTACACTCCACACTCCATACTTCACACTTTGCGCTTTACACTCCACACTTTACACTGCACACTTCACACTTTACACCCCACACTCTACAACCTACACTTTCCTCTTTACACTTGATACTCCACACTCTACAATCTCTACACCTTACACTTTACACTTCGCAACGCGCATTTTACACTTGACACTCCACAGTCTACTCTTGACACTTTACACTTTACACTTGACACTCCACACTCTGAACTCCACACTCTACACTTGACACTCCACTCTCCACACTTTACACTTTACAATCCACACTTTGCACTCTATACTCTACACTTCACACTCCACACTCTACACTCTAAACTTTACACTCCACACTTTACACTCGACACTTCACACAATCGCCACTTCATAGCCTGCACAATGCATTTCCCTCTCGACACTCCACTGTCTTCACTGTCTTCACACTCCACACTCTGCACTCCAGCCCATTTCACACTCAACAATCTACACTGGTACGGTAACACCAGAAAAATGTACAAGACTGTTGATAAAAACTTGTTTTACAAAAGTGTTTTATGTGACTGCATTCGGGTTCGTTGGTTTCTCTTGGTAAAAAAATGGCAAGTATGACGGCATAAGCCTGCAATCCTCAAATGTGTTCGAACCGCTTTCTTTCATGTTGGAGGTTTGACATGACTAGCGGCCGCACGAACCGGCACCAAGTATTGTAACAACAAGGTAAGAAGGAGAAACCTGGAAGGGAACACCACACATACGCAACGTAAGTCAAAATAACATGAAGCAAGCACGTCCTTTGACAACAAACCCTGCAACGCAACAGGAAACGCTGCCATGGCAACCTGCATCACTTGCATCAACTTTTGAACCAGCGGCTTCGCGGGAAACAACCACGGAATGCAAAGCCATGCCACGACGGAACAGCTCAGGACATGTCAAAGGACATGCCAAAGGACTTGAAGAACCATAACTTCTAAGCATGTCGTTCACTAGTTGAACACGCTCACACTTTTTCCTAGACCATTGTCATCAAAAAAAGAGGTCAAAAAGGATCGAACTGGCCTCCCCTCCGTGCAGTGGCAAGCACGGGGCAGGCTCTGCTTCACCAACAGAGTCACATCTCCGCACTTGGAGCCCAATGGACACGTTAGCGCACCGTGTCATTGTCATCCACTGAGCATATCAGTGGGTTGGCCTCAAACTCCTAGCTGCTGACACAACTTGCCACTGCGCCTCACACCCGGCCAACGGTGTGCAGGATGCCCAACTACTATGCTTAGGCACTCCTGCGGGTAAGGCGTTGAAGCTTGGTTTTGCATTTTTTGCGTTATGACTGAACACTGGCCCATGTCAGCCTCTTGGGGAACAAAACTGCGTTGGAACCGTTCTTTGAAAACAGCAAATCTAGTCCGGAGACAGCAAAATGGAGAGGGAACCTTGCAATATATATATATCTCTCTCTCTCTCTATCTATCTAATCTAATCTAATCTAATCTAATCTAATCTAATCTAATCTATCTATCTATCTTTCTATCTATTTATCTATCTATCCATCCATCCATCCATCCATCCATCTATCATCATCTATGAAGACTTCAGAAAATAACTAAGCATCTCCAATCCAAAAAGCAGCTGAAACAACAACACCCATTTCTTTGGTTTGACGTGACCAGCAGCTAGCGTAGACACTAGAAAGTAGCGAACGGTTACAAAAATCGGACCTGGCAGGAGACAAGCAGCATGTTCAAATGATTACCCTCTCCTGGAGCATCCTTTCCCGAGAAGTTTCTAGCATTTCTAGGATCACTTCCTAGAATTCCCTGAAATTCCTAGCATTTGGAATGTCCAGGCTAGTACCCTCTGGTAACTTAACGTAGCTATTGAAAATGGTCCATTTATAGTTGATTTACCCATTAAACATGGTGGATCTTTCCATCGTTTCTTGTATGTTTACCAGAGGGTATATCCCATAAAAAGTGGATTATAATCCCATCACATTCCATCAAAATC